GCAGATATACATCATCGGAATGCAAATCTAGTCGTTAAATTCCACAAGAAATTGTGAAATTCATAGTTAATCAATCAAAATTAACCCTGAAATTTATCTTACATGATCCGGTCAAGCTCTGAAATTACTGAAGCGAGTCTTTTGTGACAGAATTCAGCTAAAATGTGGCTTTTCGGATCAATATCAGCCCTTGTTTGATGAATTCTGCTCAATTTTATAACATTTGATGATTTTACGGTTACCGGATTTTGAAGCCTTACCGGAATCTAAATATAACTGGCGTGGGTTCAGGAGGGTGTGTAATCGATGCCTGAATGGTTTGAAAAAACTTTTGATATGAAATAATAAACGCATCCTTCGTCAATGCCATTTCCTGAAAAAAAAAATGATCGATTTCGAGAGAGAGGAAAAACATCAAAAAAACTAGTTTTGCCAATTTCGTTTTAACGATAAAATGACACATGATTATAAAATATTCACTGTGTATATACCATTGACCTTGTTTCTGGTTCATAATTTATGGAAGTTAATTTGAAGGCTTTTGTTGGTGGCCCCAAGTAAACAACCTTAAATAGTTGGAGGCTAAGGATGGAAGAATTAATTGTCTTCATAAAACGCTAAGTTTTTCACTTAAAGTGGTTAATATTCCTACTAGATGTGCCATTCGAGTGTTAGAGAAAGAAAGTGTCGTTGCTTGACAAAGATAGAGATATTATAGTGAGGTACGTATATAGCAAAGTCTCAACTGTTCAAAGCAATTATTTTTAAATTTATCGTTTATTTTAAACGTTTTTGGACAACTTTTGCTTTATTTTAAAAAATTACATTGTCGAAAGATACACTAGGCCAATAGTAAATTACTATACAAAAAAATCTGGTGTGAACATCACACGACTTTCCTTATCCTACTTATTTGGAAAGCATCTTAATAACGACGATTACACGCGAAATAGATCATAGTTGGCGCGGTTTTGGGTCTGGGGTACAATTTTTTTTTAGTTTAGTACTCATTTTTATTTTTATTTTATCACATTTTACTGTTTAATAAGGTATATTTCATGATTCTAAATAATTTTTGGTCTTTGCGGCCAAACGGTGCGACCGATTTTTACCAATTGTTTCGTGCTGCGTCCCCTTCTCATAAGTAACTTACATACCAAATTTTAAGTTTCTAGCTCTTATCGTTCTCGAGATATGCTGTCAAATTTCAGGTCAAATTTCAGCCGATTACAAAGAAAGTAAAAAGTTTTTCATGAGTGATATGTTTGTGAAACGAGTGCGTAGGACGAGTTTCAGAAAGAAATCACGAGCAGAATACAACGTTTTTTCTTATAGGTACATTCATATTTTTTTTAAATAAAAACTTAGAAATGTCTCAATTTAGTTGCTGATTTCTGAATTTGACATTAATTGTCATGTGAAATAAAAAACAACTAAAACAATGAAGATTTGATAACAAACGGTCGTGAATTATTTAAAAAAGCAGTAAAGTGAAATGTGTAAAGCATTTTTTTATGTGCCATTGGTGTTTTTAACAAATTGCGTGTGTAAAAACATTCAATTTGTGTAAAAAGTTGCAAAAATATGCTTTGAATTGAGTTAATTTCTCACAAACTAAAAATATGTTACAAAGTGGAAAATTATCGTTGTAAGCTTTAAATTTTTTGGACCTCTCCTCGCGATAAATAAACAATAGTGTGCAGCTTGTTTTTTTTAACATTTTAAATTTTGCATTAATTTTTTTTTCGTTTATTTTAAGAATTTTTTGTTTTCTCTGTTTATTTTGTTCGTTTTAGCATATTTTTCAATGGGAATCGCTTTTTTTTAGAAAAAATTGGCTAACTTACGAAAAAAATTTGAAAGAAAAACAACAAATTTTTATTGAATGCGTAAGAAAAGTCGTAGAATCGACTTGTTTTATGAAAACTTTTCGTATTATTAAATCTATMCTTTTGCTTTTACTTTTTTTACTTTTTTTTTCAATAAGAATCACTTTTGTTGTTTATGTACTTTTTTGTCTCCAAAAGTTTTTTTGATTATTTATAATTAGATTTGGTTTTATCAAACAGTCAATTTTAAGTCGAAAATGTATTTTTTTTTTGGCTCTAGACTAAATCTATGAAAAAACGTAATTTCTTTCTTAATTTTTGTTCCAATATATATTATTTTGCTTTTTTCACTTTTTGTTTTTTTTTATTTTTATTTATTTTATTATTATTTATTTTTTATTCCACTTGTAAGAAATTTTATTAAAACGATGCAAAAACATGTTATAGATGAATTTTTTTCGGGTCTTTTACATATTTCTAATACCAGTTGTTTAAATTAAAGAAAAGATTATTCAATTAGTGTAAAAAATTGCAAAAATTTGGAATAAAATGAGTTTTTTCGTTTTGTTTCATACAATCTGGCTTACTTTGAGGTGGGTTTATTTTGTTATTGCAAAATCGATAAATTTCTTTTATGAAAATTTCGATTATTTTACAAGATTTTATTATATCGCGACAAAAACTTTAAGAACAGGAACTGAATTATCTTTTTTATCAAATTATACTATATAAAAGTTAACCTATTTTTTTCTATTTTTTTTTGTTGAATTAGCTTATTTTCCAATGGGAATCGCCCTTATCAATAAAATTGTTCAATTTATACACAAAATGTAAAAATATGTGTTTTTAACAAATTGCGTGTGTCGACTATTCGATTTGAAACAGATAGTTTTTGTTTAGGGCTCAAAGAATTTTGAGGATGTAAAAAAGTTTTCTGGTGTATTAATTTTTACACTAATACGATAAAAAATTCAAAGATATTTCGCCATCTCTTTTCTACTTATGTAGAGATCAATAGCTCTCACTCTAAAACCCATCTTGGAGCATTTATATTGTAAGATCATTATTTGTGGCGCCCAACCCGCGTTACATAACGATCTGTTAGCAACAGGTTTACTGAAACTGAGACTAGACATTTTTATCCCTCTCCTGAATTTCAGAAAAAGTGTAAATATTTCCATAATGAAACTGATAATTCATGAAACGGCAAAAATTCACTTCTGCTAGATGAAGCAAACACTACAGGGTGCGCCAGAACTCGCGTCCCAGAGAAGAAAGCCATATAAGGTAAGATACCAGGAACATGGAAAAAATGTTAAAAAAAATTATCTATAAAAATTTCGAAGTTATGAGGGTTTAAAGTTTGCACTTTGCCTCTATTTATTTCTGTTGAAAAAATAATTTTCCAAGTTTTTTTGCTACAGGCTATTAGAAAAGGAAAAAAGGAAGCTGTATCCTAAATTGTAACTCTGTTCAATGTTATTTGTGGCTTTTATTAGCAAAATTTTTGTCCCTTTACTAAATAATTATAAAAAAACATATACAAGATTATCAGTATCCTTAAATAGATAAAAAAAATGTCAAATGTCAAAAATTTTTGACAGATAGAATTTTTTAAACATTTTTTTCATGTTCCTGGTATCTTACCTTACTTGAAAATTTTCTCTGGGCGCGAGTTCTGGCGCACCCTGTATATCGACTTTTGACCCCATTTTAGAACATAAACAAAAATTAAGCGTTTTTTAAAGCGAGCACTTATTTTAAATCAAATTTTGACAAATATATAAGTGCTAAACTTGTAAAAAATCTAATTTCTTACTGATCCATGCAAGTTTGCAATTCTTTAATTTTTTAACAGACTTTTTATAGATTCAAAAAAAAAAGGAATTTCAGGTTGGTACGTCTCTGCTCTATATTAATGGAACTAAAAATTTAAAACAAGACTGTTTATAACATTTTTTCAAGTAAATAATGCGGAATCGGTTTTATCAATCTTCAAAAAAATTCTCTATAAAATACAAGCTTCACACTCATTTTTACTAAAATTAAGAATAATACACTTTTAGGTATTACATTTTAAACTCAGATTAGTGTTTTTTGAATATTTTAGTTAAAATTATAAGCTTTAAACCGAGGGAAAACATTTTTCTATCAAAAGTGTCTTTTCTAAATCTTTCAAAAGAAAATAAATTAATATCTAATACATACTGGTAAATAAATCATCAGCAATAAACAGAAGTGGTAGAACGAGAACAGAAATTTAATTATATTTAACTAAAAACTCAAAATAACATAACAATTTACAAAATTTCAAAATTCCACGTCATGGTTGCTTGAAATATTTCTACAAAATTTAAAACACAGAACAGTAAAGATCTCAGATTTTTACTGTTTTCAAAATAGTCGTTATAAAAAAAATTTGTCTTCAGAAAATAATTAATAAAAATTAAAGCGCTATAAAAAATGTGATCGCATATTGAGATAAAATTTTATTTTGTTTTTAAGTTATGCGATTTTTTTTTCTTCAAAATACATTAAA